TAAGCTCAGGACATCAGGTGAGTCACCTGTGTGTGCAGTGTGTTCACACACGACGCCGCTGATGCATAAAACAGGTCACACGGAGAGGGCGCGCTGTGCGTCCTCTGAGCTCAGGTGAAGTACAGACGCCACGAGGACGATTCAGCAGCTCCTAAACGCTGCGCGGCCAAACTTTAGGATCAGGTGACTGCATAGCAACAGTGAGTGACGCTCAGGTGTGCTGCATTAACACACCTCAGAGGTCAAAGGTCAGACTGTTCGCAGAGCCTCCTACAGAACGAGGAGGACGTGAACAACGATGGGAGGAGCTAACCAACACCAGCACAGCGAGCTACAGACCGTCCCACAACCTGTTGTAAGGAAGTTCTCAAGAACCAATCAGGAACAGAGTTTTCCATAGCGACCGGAGTCTGGGCCTCGGTAAGCTCACCCTGCAGCGCTGATGGTCACATGACTGCAAACCCTCCACACGGACACGCTCAGTTTAAACCTCGAGCTTGTGATTCACACGGCCGCCGCCACACGCCCTCGCCGCCACACGCCCTCGCCGCCACACTCTCCTGTCTGTTTCTCTGCCCATTAACAGCTATGGCGCCATCATCGCACGCAGGTGTAAGCGGCCCACGTAGCGCCGCTCAGCTCAGTCTAAAGTCAGAACGGCAGGTGTAAGTGGTGTTTGAAGCAGCAGCTGAGGTGAAAGCGCCCAAAAGGCGGGCCGAGGGGCGACTGTTACTGACAAGAAAAGCTTCCTCAGTGACACCGGCCGCGCTGAACCTCTGCCAGGCGCCACACGGTCCCCTATAAACCACTTCCTGTGAGCTGCCAGAGGTGCGACTACGTTGTGTCTCTGAGCGTGAACAGAAACAGAAACTGATGCGCCCGCCTGGACCAGAACGAAGCCGCCGCCACCTCACAGCAGCTCATCCAGCCACTCGGGCAACATGAAGCTGAGCGACCTTTGACCCTGTCTGGCTGTTGATCAGTGTCACAGCATCCTGCGTTGTTAAAGGACGCTGAGACAGGTGCTGCCATCTGAGACGCTCCCGTGGGACATCTTGTTGTTTTTATTCTGAGGAGGTACACTCAGCTGCGCCGCTGTCGGGTGGAGGCCAGCACCACCCTGTCTCACTGCAGGAAACCCCACTAACCAGACCTGGTTTCAGTCTGACGCCGCTGCGGCTCAACGATGGCGCAAACCATAACCGGGATTATTTTACTCACTGACCTAATTTGGATTATTTACCGTGAACTTTATTAAACCTGGAAGGACAAACGGGGACACGCAGAGGACGGCAGGCCCAGACTAGCCTCATCGCAACCAACCGATCACCAACCGGAACCCAGGTTACTGTTCCTGAGGGTCCCGCCCCCTCACGACGGCTGCACAGGTGCTCACTGAAAAGTTTGAACCTTCATTTGTGTGAGCTTCTGTTGCGCTCAATGACCTGTGGTCACATGCCCTCCAAACGTCCAATCAGGGGTGGGAAGAGCCCAGCTGGCTGGAGCTGAACTAAACAGCGAGCGCATCTGAGCTTCTGCTGAGGAACGAACACAGTGATCATCTCCACAAAATCACAGCTGACATTAAAACACGATTAACCTCTAACGTCCACGCTTCCTGTCGACGGGCGGCGGGGTCCCTTCAGCTCGGCAAACATGGCTGAGGAGGAGCTGCAGCAAACACGCCACGGAAACATGGCTTTACGGCGCCGTTGAGTTCAGGCACAGGAAGTAAACAAAAACACGAGCTCATCTTTAATCCCACTGGCTGATTAGCTGTGTGGGCGGGCAAACATCTATGTCCAGGTGAATTCATGGACATAGATGGATGTCATATCTGGTGTTTGTGGATGCTGGTCTCATCTTTGATCCACGCCACCAACAGCTGCCTGACCCTTGCACCTCCACCTTAGACTGTAAACTACACCTGTCTCCATATTCTGACTGTTTACAGACAAACGGATCAATCAGTGAAAACTAACCAGCAGATGATCCGATTGACTCGATCAGCACCTGTGGGATTACTGGAACCAGACTAGGTTTGAATCTCGTACAGGTACAGGTGAGCGCTGCTGTTGCCTGTGTAGGTATCATCCCTCTGCTCTGTGTGCCAGCTCCAACATTAATGTAATCCAGCTGTTTTAACCCGGGACGAGGTGCAGCTCCCTGGTGTCAGCTGGTCAGAGTACTCACCTGCACAGGTGCAGTGTTTACAGTGTGCTGATTAAACGGCCCTTGTGCATATTTTGGTGTGTTTTTCACTTTTCTAGCTGCTGTGCGTGTACCTGCCCAGGTGTGCCCCTGACACCAGGCGAGAGCTCAGTGTTGTGTCTGGTGAGGTTAAGGTTTCAGGTGAGCCTCGCTGGGTGGCTGTGTGTGGGTAACCTGCTGGTTAGCATGCTAATAAGCTCGCCTGTCACAGCGGCCGTGGAGCCCGGTACTGCCGCCTGTGATCCCGCTCACAGCCCCACACGCTCGGCGCGGCCTCGGTGAGGGTACCGGGAGCCGTTCGGTGGTTCTAACTCGCTGTTTAAAGGCTTTCCCCCGGCCCGGAGCGGCTAGCGCTTAGCCGTTAGCTCGCTCGGACCGCCCAGTTGACTGATCACTTCTCTGTTAGCGTTAGCGTGCAGGCTAGCTGTTAGCAGCCCGGTCCGCGGCGCGCTAGTGGCGGGTCGGGAGCGGCGGCAGGAAGCGGGCCGTTTAGCGAGCCGCGGGAGTGTCGAGAGAATAGGGAAGAAGCGTCCTTACTGATTCGATGCAATTCTCTTTTTCCTCTCCAGCTTTCAGCCAACTTAGAGCGACGACTTCAAAGCCAGCAGCGAACTTCTGCCAACCTCAGCCTCCGTTTGACACGCCTGGCACGGCCGGGTCTCCGGCGGAACATTCCCGGCGGAGCACGGAGGGAAAAGCGCGGTTTTTACTCCGAAAACTGGCGAAAAATTAAAGTTGAAGCGGTCGCTCCGTCACGGAGGCCATGTTTGGGAGCAACCGAACCACCGCCTGTCAGTGCCAGCAGAGGAAGTAGGTCCCGCAAAACACGTCCCGCCTCGCCGGGCCGCACGCTCCCGTCAGACCCAGACACGGGCGGCGTGTACCGTGGATCGGCCTGTGAAAAGTGCCGGTGTGCAAGCCTCCACGCGGGCACCGGGAATATTTGTTTGTGTTGTGTAAAAAGTGTGTCTGACCCCGCGGAGGGATCAGTTGGAGGACTGCTCTGGTGAAGCGGCTCTGTCAGCAGACCTGGAAGTCCCGGAGCGGAGCGCGAGGATCCGGACCGCGCCAGGCACGTGCCCGAGCACGGAGCAGAGGGCCGGGGTCAAGGGTCAGGTTAGTGTCGACCCGAGAGCGCCACGCCTGCAGGAAGAAGTTCCGGTTATTAGCCACTAAAGTTTAAAAGAGCCAAACTGTCAGTGACGGTGACGTCATCACCCTCATCACAGGGACGCTGACGTGGTGGGCGTGTCTGTCTTGAAAACAGTGATGGTTATGATCGTTGTTTCATGTATTATGTATGTCACACAGGAGAGGATAAGCTCCGCCCACAGTACCAGTGTACCTGACAGCACCTGGAGCTGAGGCCACACCCACCTCAGTTATTATTAATTAATTACAATCTGCTGATGGGTCTGAGTTCAAACAAACACACAGGTCACAACGTACATGTCCAGTTTATTGAACACAAACACTAATGCTGACCCTTTGGCCCCTAACAATGACCTCATCCTGACCCCACCCCCCCATTTTCCCTGTGCAGTCCCACCTGTGCAGCTCATTAGTCTGCTCCTGTTTGCACAGTGGGCCGAGCACAGAATCAAATCACACAGAAAAACACGCAGATGAAGGAAACAGTCTGTGCTGTGAGGGGCGTGTCTGCGGCGAGGGCTCAAATGTGATTGGTCCCTCAGCCAGATGACGGACATCTCCCTGATCCATGATTGGACCAGAGTCTGAGTTACTGACGTGCAGCACATTTGTTCTCCTCCGACAGGAACTCCACTCCTGCCTCCGTCACACAGAAGGAGCTGCTCCAGGAGGCCTTGACCCTGGAAGAGGAGGTGGTGCAGTGGACGGTGAAGATCTGCTGTCTCCTCTGCTCCTGGTCGTGTCCTCCTTCAGCAGCCATGTTGTCTCCTGGCTCCTGCCTGGAGCACAGCAGCCGGTGGGTCACCAGCCTCTGCCAGGAGCGGCAGAGGTACGACCGCTCGGAGTCTGAGGAGGAGGAGGGGACGCCGGGCCTCCTGATGGCGTGACAGGTGGCGAAGACAGTAATTCTGTAATCCCTGTGGAGTAGGAGGAGCCAAAAATCAGAAAATGAGTGAGCCAGAGTCCAGAACAGAACCCCCACAGGCTCCACTCAGGCCGGTGTTTGACCCAGCAAAACACGAACAAACCAACATTTTACACAAACACCCGTCAGAGCGTGAGCGACTGACCACCCTGACCTACGGCGCTGACACTGCAGGTTGACCACCAGGGGGCACTCTGCACATGTGTTTGTTTGGCGTACCTGAAAGGGAAAAGCTGCGCACATGACCGTGATCCTATCAGAGCTCAGCGGAGGCCTTCAGAGTGGTGGTGATGTCACGCAGCGCGCTGTAACACGTGACCTGCGAGCAGCCTGAATCAGTCTAACTCCAGGATACAGTGGACCCACCTGAGCAGGCGTCCCAGCAGCTCCGCACACCTGCTGAGCTTCTCCTCCTGTTTGGTGTAGCTGGCCCCACCCTCGCAGCGATCCACCCAATAAAACGCGGAAATGCTGTCTATGAGGATGAGCGCCAGGGCGGGCCGTGATGACAAGGTGGTCTCCAGGAAGTGGAGGGTGAGGAGGAGCTGCGAGGAGGAGTAGCAGTGAACAAACAGGAGGCGGGACAGACACGAGCGCAGCGCCGCCTCGTCTGCTCCGGCCAACAGCGCTAAGGACCCGGAGAGAAAGGGTTAGTGTGTAACTTCCTGTTTGTTTGCGTGTGTGCATGCGTGTGCATATACCTGCGCTCAGTTTGCTGTCCAGGATGCTGACCAGGTGTAACATGTCCAGGCTGTAGTCGGTGTCCACAAACACCACATCCACCTCCAGACCCCCAGCGGCCTCTGGCAGCACGCAGCGACACAGCAGGTGATACAGCAGCTCCGTCTTACCTGAGCAACACACACACAGAGTTTACATCCGGGTTAAAGGTGGAGGCACTTCCTGCATCGTGAACTCACCTGTGCCCTCCAGCCCGA